AACTGGCCTCTGATCTCGTTGGTGAGGCCACTTACTTAGGATTCGTGCATCTTTCCTCGGGTGGTCGCGAGCCCGGCTGTTAAGAGACACGGGTGTTCGCGCGTCTCTCCTCAGAGGGGTCGCGAGCCAGTCTGAGGAGAGGTACGTTTGTTCGTTTGTTTAATTAACAATCCATTAATGACATTAAAAACTACGGTATAAACTTTTAAAAGCGCTATGTTTTTATTGTTAAATACATAATTAATTGTTTTTTTTTTCTTGTTCGTTCTTGAAAAAGTGTTTTGCCGTGTACTGCACTAAGAAAAGGTCTGATGCTGGCCGCTTAGTAAGTTAACGGTATATAGGGAGGGTTTCGTGTTGACCGTTATATCTTTTAGAAGGGAAAGTGACAGAGCCCTGTAACCCCAGATGTACTGTATATGTGTCTTTTTTACTTTTATTGTTTAGAATGAACCCTCCGATCGGCAGAAGGAGACTGGGTCTTCATCTCCTGTTCCGTTAACACGCACACAACCATTGTAGCCCGTGTGTCCAACACTCCGGGTTGGCACTGGCTAAAATATTTCCTTGTGTGTGTTTAACACCCTTAAATTACATAAACATCGTATTAACAAACGTCACAGACAAAATAAAAGAGTTCACGTATACCTGAATAATAAAAGCCAAAAAGACACATGTACAGCACATCTTTTTTACACATCGGTGTAAATGACAGTAATGTAGGTTTCCTATATTCTTTCTCTATATTAACCTTTTATAATAGGAACTAACTGGTTCAATTAAATTATGATGTGTGAAATTTTCGGATTTGTTACAGAATGGCTTTTATGCTCATTCAGTGGATTGAGGACCCACCCTCATGGGACGTCCTTCCCAACAACCAAAATCATTAATGGAATTTGCAAGATCAACAGTGTATGCGATGTATCTTATGGAAATGAAACAAGCCCAGCAAAGATACTGCATATAGGTTGGTGTTTCTACACTGTAAAAAATTATACATTGAAAACGTTCAGCATGTATAAAAAACTAAGTTGCTGCAACTTTAAGGCGTGGGTTATATTGTGACAATGGTTTTAATCTTACTCTCTCAATTTTCAAGATTTTTTTTTGTGTAAATTCAAGAAAGTTCTTTGGTCCAAAAAAACGAGTTGCTCTCTTTAGTACGACGTAAAATGTCACGTGAGCATTAACTGTCGAACAGGTGACCATCTAGAAAAGACGCCATTTCGCGCCCTTTTAACTTGAAGACGCACTTAAACGACTGGATGCAGGACACTTCTGCGAGGTAAGAACAAAACTTTATTTCAGCGACTTTAGAGTATTCGACAGTTTAGACCAAGTAAACATAACCTATTGTCGCTGGTAAACATTACCGTAGTAATTTTTTGCACCTTTTACGCAGACCTTATAAGATAATTTGCATCAATGGTTTGCAGTTTGAACCGTTAGGATGAAGTACATCGCAAGTTAAGGTGACATGGTCAGTTATTTGTACATGTATAAGGTTAGTTAATTAGTAACTGTTATCGTGCAGTTTTGTTGCGCTTTTTTTCCAAAGTGACTGACACTAACTTCTTGCAAAGTCCCATAAATAGAGCTGCAGCGATTAGTGAACATAGTCGACGACGTCGACGCAAAATAATTGTCGACCCCAGTATTTTTAATCGACGCGTCGTACCCATAAATGACATTAAAAAAAAAATTATCAAAACTATATATACACGGCGTTGAAAATGAACAGTTAAATAATGGTCCTTAAATGCTACGTAAAATGATTGTTATGTGCATTATTGTCATTATGAATGCATTTGCGATATACATGAGTTTACTGCAATTTAATTAGTAACTTTGGCATTACAGGGCATACTTACCAAGGAGTTGATATGGAGGCTGCCTCGTTTGGGTAAGTCATCTGTGTTCATGGTTTAAAAACTATAGTCCTATTCGAAAAAAGAATTAATTTTGACCTTCATTTTGTTGTGTAATTTATGTACAATTTAGCTTCATATTTGCGGGATTCATAAAATTCTGGCAAACATTTCTTTATAGGTGTTGACACATTTTAGAGGAGAGACTTCCCTTGACATTGACAATACTAGTAAAAGTCAATTTTATTAATTTTTTACATCTGTTTATTGTTCTATGTTAATTGCATTAGGCAGCTGACTTGTTGGAAACCAAAGTTGGCATGAAAATGGGCATCCTGGAGACCACTGAAGATGGGGCAGTCCCACCCAAGTCAGTGAACAGCATAATTGTGCTGGAGGAGACTGTTGTCCTTGAGGGACTCACTGACTATCCAACTGCATTTGGACTGCTTTTTGGGCTTATTTATGCCCTCAACATTGAATTCCCCAAAGAATGGAAATATACATTTGAGACCATTCAGAAGGTTTTCCTTTTTCTTGGAGAGTACTGCTCAGCCCGAACACTGTCTCTGAAGAACAGACTGTTAAAGAGCTAGAGCGCTCAATTTCTTGCACCTTTTTTTTTTTTGAATGACCTGATGTCCTAGTAAATCCATGTTTTGTTGTGATTACAGAAATGTTTCGTCAGCCGTTTACTGAAGGATAACCTGCAGAATTTAGTTGCAGTAAATTTATAATGGGATCTTCATTGTGTCAGAGCTGAATTGTGTATTTCATACTTCTTTATTTATAGCTTTTTTTTGCTGAAATGTTTGCAAAATTTATCTGCACATGGCACTCTTATGGTACATGAGAAAAAAAATTAAAAAGGGGTAGCTTTCTTAGTTCCTTTAGAATTTATTATGGGTTCCTAATTGTGTTACAGTTGCATTTTTGAGGTCATCCCTTCTTGTGTGCTTTATTGAATTGTTTTTTTGAAATGTTGTAAAATTGATACAGTACACGTTGTATTCTCTCATGGAAGTATGCTAAAAAGTTTTTGAAGATTGCAGCAGTTGAAGAAGTGAGCATAATTTTTCATAGAAAATACCTGTTCTCAATCTCTTCTGTTGGGTTTAACTAATTGATAAAGACCAGTTGCTTGATTTATTTCATATTTGCTTTGTACCCAGCAATGTGTGAGTGGATTACTGTTATGTAATAACTTTATCAATTTGAACAGTGGATTTACAAAACTTCAGCAATAAAAAATGTTGCATTTGATACCTGTAAAAGTTTGGTTAATGTGAGCATTTTAGTAGCCATGTAAAAGTTGTTTTGAAGGTTTGTTGGCTTAATTTAAAAAGTTAAAGTAACAAATAACATCACCCTTTTTAAGTTGGTATGTCTAATTGATAATGTTGTGTTAGTGGTACTTTGACTACAAGTTGACATAACACTGAATTAGGTATTGGGGTGACTTTCAGGCCTTTTTCGACTAACTTAAAAATATAAGTCTGTGGAACAAATATAAACCAGAAGTTGAGAGAACTCAAAAAAGATGATGTAATTAGTTACATAAGAATCTTAAGTTGGGGCAGCCAATTTTTTTTTACAGTGTAAGAGATATTCACAAATTTCCATTCCATTTCCTTTGCATTTATTTGTATTGTTTTTTTTAATCCAAAGTATTTTTTTACCTTAGGAATTAGTTAAGGTGAATAGGTGACACAACAGCTGACAAACAATTACAATACATCTGTCTTGGTTTTGCAGTCTTAAGGCATTTAGCAAAATTTCATGTCCACTCCAACTAGTTCTGAGACTGGTGTTGATAGTGTTGACAGTGTGAATCTATCGCTGTCATGACCTACTCCTACTATCGTCCTGTGTGCCACGCCCCCCTCGTTAGCCTCGTGTGAAATCCCGATGTCATCTGTTGCTTATTATTAATCTTGTGTATTTTAGTTCGCGTTCGAGTACGTTTACCCAGTCTTGTCATTGACGTTGTTTACCGTTCTGTACCTGTCTGCCCGGAATAGACCCCGTATTCCAAGGATTCCCCTATCCGTAATTCCCCTGCTCGCCATGTGGTCATAACAATCGCGCTATCAGCCATAGTAGTGGTTGACAGTACAATTTGTGTACACCATCACTAATGTATCTTTTGTTGGAGTAATGGATATTCCAGATGGTGCATTAAGGGTAGAAAAAATAATAAAGTGAATAAATAGACATTTTATGCATATGCAAACATACTTTATGCTGCTCAAGAATGTTTTAAGATTTGAGAAGTCGAGTTTTCTTTTTACATTATCCTTCATTAAAGGGAGCAGATCTAACCTTCTTAAAAAGTTAGAAGCTTTGGAGATGAAAGCCACATCTGCATGCCACACTTCAGATGCAGACTGTGGACGTGGCCACAGGAGAAAGTGGCCCAGCACCCGCCTTTTGTCATCTACTTCAAGCTCAGATAATGAGGAGAATGATGTAAGTATGTGACAGATAAGTTTTATATCAGTCCTGTTATATTTTAGTCTCACATATCCTGTATCTATCTGTACTGATCTGTTTTTGTCAGTAGTTTTTACTACAAGCTGTCAGTTTTGCATAATTTCCTATACAAACTATTATATGGAAATATGTAAAGTATTGTCAT